GCTTGCCCAACCTGCCGCGGAGGTGTCCATGCTGGGAGTGGGGCGCACTCTCTGGAAGACGGAGCCTGTCGCATCCGAGATCTCTGCGTCAGAGAAAGCTTCCAGGCCCTGGGGGAGTGGCGGCGCCTGCTGTAGAAGGCCGCATCGGACAGCCTGCGTGTGGTCGGCGTCGGGAACGTCGTAACCCAGGGTGGCGGCCGCCCTGGCCCTCAGGCTCAGACCCAATGAACAAGTGTACCTCAGGTCGTTGGCCACAAGTCGCTCGGCGCGTGGGGCGTGCACGAAGGCCAAGAGAAAGGTCAGAGGGGACAGCTGGTGGGCAAACAGGTCCGCAGGGTTCTGTCGAAGGTAGTATATCTGGTCGAGCGCCCAGCACTGCCGCCACAACTGGATGTCAGAAGGGGCTTCATCCACTTGATACCAGGGAGCATCATCGCTTGGGGGGCGCTTCGCCTTGGTCTCGTCTTCGTGGAACAGACCTCCCTTCCCACTGTTGTAGAGCACTATGCACCTGTCGGAGGGGTATCTGGCGGAAGAGCTGAGACCGAGCGCTTGGGCGTCTCTGGGGTGGATGGGGCCTCCCAGAGCAGGGGGCCACCAAGCTGTGGCGTCTGCGATATTGTCTACTGCGGGGCCCGCGGAGATATGCAATACCCTGCCTTCCTTGTCCCCTTCAAGGGATCTGGATGCAACCTTGTACTTAGAGGGCCACTCCAGCAAGAAGAGCTTTGCCGTCAGGTAGGTCCATTGCATTCCGTAGCCGAAAAGGTATCCAGGCCCTCCAGGTCAGTGTTGGCATCGATCCTAGTGATGCGGACTCCGAGAGCACAGTTACCTTTCCTGGCCAGATCCTCTCGCGTGGAGCCTTTTCCGTCATCCACCGTCTCGACAGAGGCCTGGCTTTCCACCCAGGCGATCCTCCGTAGCGTCTGCCCTCGATCCAGGAGAGAGTAGGGCCACTGCGAGGGGAGACGAACGGCGCCAGTCAGCTCCCCGAGTGCCGCCTTGGGGTGGACCCTGGAATGCGGGGAGTCCAGTGGTACAGAGTAGAGACTGACTACCTCGGCAGCCGCCTGCAAGGCCAAAGACTCGTCCAGGGCAGCTGGGCTTGTCGGAGATAAAGCGTCATCTTCAGAGAGCATCGCGCTGTCTTCGGAAATCAAAACTCTTCGCTGCTGAGTGGGCGGGCCACAGGCGGGTGGAGGGCGGGGCGGCGGGGGCGGGGGAGGGGGTGCGACCGAGTCGCCGGTAGCCTGTCCAGGTACGGCAGGATGGGGCCCGACGGTCGATTTCGCTCGCATCCTGTTCTCGTCGCCGCAGTCCTCAGGGTCGGACCTGGTATCCCCAGGGCAATTGTACGTTGGCGCGTCGTCCCAGAGAGGGTAGGTGACGGGCGCGTGCAGCGCGTCTTCTGGGATCGAGATGCCAGGAAGCGAGTGTGCCCCGTTATGGGACGCCGAGGGTTTGACGGGCCTCCAACCGGGCCAGGGCTTTCGTACGATGGACAGCTGGCGATAAGCGTCCCAGGAACGCCCTGCGCAATTGCTCCACATATTTCCGGGAGTGACAAAGGTGTTCGGGTCTGGCCAACCGTCCTGGTAACGCGCTTCAGACATCTCAGTGTGCCTGTCGCTTAGGATGTGCTGTGTGTCGTCTACGGGCTCTTGGCAGATTTCGCACCAGCGTCGCCGCCCGCCGTTGAAGTAGACCCAACGCATCCAGGGACCGAAGCGGGCCAGGAAGACACGCGTGCCCGTGCGCACTGGCGGCCCGTCCTCACTGCACGGCAGGCAGGAGGGCCATCGACCGATGGGGCCTCGGTTATTCTTAGGCATGATCCAGGGCGTCAAACGGTCCAGGGGGGCAGCTGAAGGCCGCTGGCTGTCGCTGCGGCAGCTGAAGGCTGCAAACTGTCGGGACCTTAGTGTGTCGCGGCGGGGGCGATCAGGGGAGAGAGGGGGGGGGGGATTTTCGAGAGCGCCAGCGAACTGGGCAACCTGGTCCAAGTCGCAGAGGTCGACGCCCGCAGCAGGGAAGAGGGGAGGGGGGGGCGCTGGGGGCCTTCCCAGACAATCCAGTAGGTGACCGCCAGGTCACCGGCGCGACGGAGGGCGTCGGCCCAAAAGACCCCTCGTGTCGCGAGGCGGTCGGCTGCTTTGTTGAGGCGGCGTCGCACTGCCTGCCATGTAAGGGTCCAGCCGGCCCCGATGGCTTGCCTAAGGGCAACATCCATCTGTTGCGCCAGGTGGGGCCGGCGATAGCGGCCTGTGCCAGCCCCGTACCGGATAGCCGCTAGGTTGTCGCCTACCACCCTGACACCTCGAAGTGTGCCCCCGACGTGGGGGGGCAGGGCGAGGCCAGCTCTGCGCCCTGAGGCCTCCGCCGTCTGCGCGTTGTCACAACCTGGGAGGGCGACAACGGCGACAGCGACAACGCGCGGGTAGCCGCGGCGCGGGTCATGTCTCCAGAGGACAGCGGCCGCGCCGGAGACTTTGTCGCCCTCCCCGATCCGGCGTGCTCCTCCGTCGAACGTGAGCTCATAGGGCCATTGGGCAGTGTCGGCGGCGGGGAGCGGGGAGTTCCCGACAGTGATCTCCTCGCCCGCATCCATATCCATGCCAGCTCTGAGCACGAGAGTGTGCTGGTCGCAGAGCCTGCAATAGGTCCTGGTCCAGAGGGCACTGGGAGCCCTGTCCGTCCTGGGACAAAAGAACCAGCTCACCCCCGGGGGCATCCAACTCGCCCTGGGGTCGCAACTTTGGAGAACGGCGAGCCGGTCCCCACTGCGTGTGGCCCTGGTCGTGATGGGGAGGCGCCGGATTTCCCCCCCGGCGCGTGGTGCCTGTCTGCCGAGGTACGGCCCGGCGGCCCCACATATGCGCAGCAGGTGTGGTCCTTGGGGATTGCACTGCTGACAGGGGTCGAGCATAGGGGCCCAGACCGCGGTTTCATCCGCAGGTGCGGCCGGAGGCTGCCCTTCGTGCATGTCATCGTCGTCATCGTCGTCTTCCTGGAGATCGGTACCAGGCACAGTGATACCCTGGACGATGAGCCTGGCGGCTTCGTCGGCGCCGATAGGAGTGCAATCCAGGTTCACACAGTATCTGAAGGAGGTCTGGTGTAATAGGCGGCAGACTAGTCTCTGGTGCTGACCCCTGGTGCACATCGCGGTGGCAAGGTCTCTGGGGTGGTCTGGGCCTCTAGCCTTCTCCCAGGCGAGGGCGACTGCGGGGCACCAGCACCACACGTGCTCAGTGGTGGCTTCCTTAAGGCCGCAGAGAGGGCAGGCTCCATAGAGCCCTTGCCGGATGGGAACGCTGATGCTGCCGTGATGTCCTCTTCGCTCTGCAGCAAGTGGACGCAGATCCTCGGGCAAAACGTCGTCGCCAAGGAGAGGCCAGAGGGAAGCCTCTCCAGTCCAAGGCCCGAGGCAGGAGTCACACCAGGCCTGGCCGTGATCCCGTTGCCCGGCAGTGAGCCAGACTCTTTTGGCCGCCCTGCCGCAGCCGCATTGGTGGGGGATCCTGTCAGCTACGCTTCGCCGGCGCGCGGACCCAGGCAGTCCGTTAGCCAGGATTCGTAGGACGTGATGTGCCTCGGCGAGGGAGGCACAGTGCCCCAGGAGAGACCATTCCGCGCCGTCTGTTTGAGCCCACCTGCGCTCATCGCTGGTTGTGGAGAACCAACTGCTCACAGCGTGCCCGTGGAGTTGTGTCCAGGCCGCGACATATACCACGCGCCCAAAGTAGCGGGCCCGCCGTCGGGGGGGCTATCTCATCGCACGATTGAATAGGTCAGCAGCCCTGGCGTCAGTCAGCACTTTAGAGCCGGGTCTGCGTGGTTCGTCCCGCGGGGTAAATTCCCGTGCCCATTTTACGAGTTTGTAACACCTTCTCCCCGCCGGGTGCCGTGCCTGCGGGGGGCCCCACAGGTCGTCCAGGGCATGTGCCCTGGCCGCGATCGCACGCGAAGTGGCGACCGGGCACTTGGGGCAGCCAGGTACCTGGAAGCGAATGCCCAAGCCTGTGAGGATGTTGTCGGGAATCCAAGAAGCGGAGGCAAAGCCGAGAGCGACCCGAAGGTGGGCCCGGAGCGCCCTTTCGTGCACGGTGTCGGGTAGGGAGTAGTGGGAGGGGTAGGGAATGAGCGCAATGAGATAGGTGTTCCAGGCAAGGGCGGTTTTGGTGGGAGACCACAAACCGGATCGGGCCGTATCAGATCGGACACTGGGGCACAAGACCCGAAGCCGTTTTGGAGGGCTCTATGGCCGTTTTGGGGGCGCTCTCTTGGGGAGGCCTCTTGGGGCATCTTTGAGCGATGGTAGAAACACGCTGAGGGCCGCCCTGGGGCTGTTGTGTGCTGTCTTCGCGAGCTGTGGACGTCTGTGGGCTCTTTTGGGGGTGTCTGGGGGCCTCCTTTGAGCTCCCCTGGGGGCCTCCAGGGGCATTCCTGCGCCGTCTTGGGCCTTCTTGGAACCCTCTTGGTTCGTCATCGGGCTCTCCTGAGGTCTTCTTGGGATATGTTGGGGCGGTTTTGGCGGCGTCTGGCGTGTCTGGGGGCCTCCTTTGGGCTCCCATGGGGGCTTGCAGGGGCCTTCCTGGGCCGTCTTGGGCCTTCTTCAGGCCCGAAGAAGCCCCCAAGAAAGAGCAAGAAAGACGCCCGTAGGAGGCCCCAAGTGGCCTCATGTTCCTCCTCTCTCCTTCTCCTCCTTCTCCTTCCCCTCCTGCCTTCATCCCTCAAATTTCCCCCCTAGGATTTCCACAACGGCCGGTGGAATACGTGGTCCAATAGCTTGCAAGACTCAAACCCAACGTTTGGCCGCATAGGCGTTTCCAGAAGGCAGGGGGCGGCGGTGGTTCGCCCCAAGCGTCTTCGAGAAACTAATGCAACCCATCACGGGGGAGCGAACGCGCTGTCCGCTAATCACTTGGTCTGAAGCACACTTCGATCAACCTCATCAACCTGGCACCATACAAACGCAGGGGAGGACTGACTGCGGTTTTGCCTCGAGAGTTCGCGACATCGTCGGCCAGTCACGCAGGAGGGCGAGGAAGAATTCAGCATCGAAAATGATGATTACACCAGAGAAAAACTCAAGCAGTGGATGATTGGATCGATGGAGTGAGATGGATTGTTATATCAATCAAGCGATCGACGGTGAGCTCGATCGGGAACCGGCCAGAACTGAACCTGGGAATGTTACATATTCTGTACACCATTTCGGGCGAATCTTGTGCAGCGTAGGCTGTAAAGACAGGGCAGGAGAGCTTAGCTCTGAATACTCGTGCTAAGCAAGACACTCCGCCTCCGACAGGCCTACGTCCATTTACGTTCGGCGACCATCAAACACCCGCCTTGGCAAGAAGATCTTCCAAGAATGGGGCGTGTGTTGCGACAGCATCTTCGGGAAAATGTGTGCAATCTATCTTGCCCGATTCCCATCCTTTTCCTTGCAAGTGACCGTGAAGTTCGCACAAATCTGCGTAACCCGCCGCCGCCCCCCCCCGGCGCGCTGAGGCGTGGTAGAATGCCAGGTGCTGTCTGGCAGGGATTATGCAAGTCTTCCAGAAAGGACCTCCCCCTCTCATAGAAGAGTTCTGCATGCATCGCCCCCACCCTGCCCTCGGAGAAAATGATGGATCAGCGCTCCCGACGCCGCGATCCTTTGTGCAGAACCATGGATGCGCGCTCCCGACGTACTGATCCTCATGTAGAAAACAGTCGACTCGCGCTCCTGGGACAACGATCCCTCGCGAACGGTGAGTTCATGCTACTGAGGCTACAATCCCTGGCGGGAGCAAACATTGATCTGCGCTCCCGAACTTCAAGACGGCCGAGGCAGGCAACCACGACCGCCAAGATGGCCGAATATGCCCCAAGACTGCCCCAGATGGCCCCCAGGCGGCACAACATGGTCACAATACGGCCCGACGGGCCACCGAGGCGGCCCAAGAGGGCTCCAAGAAGACCCCATCAGGACCCAAATGCGCCCAAATCAATCATGTTGCTTACTCCAGATTTCGTAATACAGGGAGGGAGGTCTCATTTCGGGGGGGGGTCTCTTCCAGGCTATCTTGGAGGGCCTGGGGGGGTCTGGGGACGATGTGTTGGAGGGTTCTCCCACGGGGGAGGTCTGAAATGGCTTGTCTTGGAGGGTCCAGACCCCCTCCCCTTTATTACGAAATCTGGAGTAGATGCTCACCTTTTCGAGCTTCTCTCCAGTTCCGGACGGCCCCAGAGGGCTCCAGTGGCTGCCTCCAGGGTGGGCCCGGCACGGGCTCCAGAACGGCCCAACAGTCCTCCAATACAGCTCAAGACAGCCCGAGAGGGCTCCTGGACGGCCCGGGCTGGCCCCAAGAGAACCCGAGGCCGGCCCGAGACCCCAAAACGGCCTCAGAGAGCCCCTCGACGGCCCAGAACCCACGACGGCTGCAAGACCCCCCCGACGGCCAGCCAAGAGGGCCCCGAGACGGCCCAAGAGAGCCCCCCAAAACGGCCCGAGAGGGCCCCAAGACGGCCCGAAGTGGCCCACGGGGCCCCCAAGGCTGCCCCACAGGAGCCCAGAACGGCCCAAAGACGGCCCAAACGGGCTCCGTGAGAGCTCCGCAGGAAGTGAATACGAAGAGGTGACGTATGTGACGGTCGTCCACTCCCTGCTCCTCCTCCTCCTCCTCCTCTTTCTCCTCCTCCTCCGTAGCCAGTTTAACTTAAGCCGTTTCGGCTCGAGTTGATTGTGTGAAACCTCGAGCTGGTGCCCACGTACTTCGAAGAGGCTCGTGGGCAGGAGCCAACTTTGTAACTACAAGCGGCAGGTGCCGCCTACCTTTCACATCGCCGACGACGATACTCACATCTCTGCTCGTGCTCAGGGCTCTTGCGTGGGCGCCATGGCGAGTCGGAGTGCATAAGTAGCGTCGTCGGGAGCAGGCAAGCAAGTGGCTGTGCCGCTCACGTGTCAACCCGAAACGCCGACGCAGCAGCGTGCTTCATGTGCGGGATGGCCAAGGGCAAGAGCTACCTACGGGACGTCAGGCCTGACAGTCCCAGCCAGAACCACAAGAAGCCGCTACCCACGGATGCCACTGCTGCGAATGACATTGAGCTGGCGGCACTGCGTAAGCAGGGACAGCAGCTTCAGCAAGCGGCCAAAGGAGAGCAACCCAAGGCCCCGCCTGACCGTGCTGTCGATACTGCCGCCACTGCTGGGGATGACCCTGCTGCTTCTGGCTCGACTGATACGCCGGAGGGCGTGGAGGGAATTTGCGCATTTGCTCATCGATGCAGGCTGCTGCTAAGGCTATGGGGCGGACGCCTGATCAGGTTGAAGGCCACGCCAAATACGAGCAGCGCTCCAAGGACCTGCGCGCCGAGATTCCGGAGGCCAAGCCTCTCGCCACACAGGCGCATGACCAACCGCCTGCAGCGAATGTACAGGCAGACTTCCAAGCTTCATGCCACCATCGTGGATACATACCGAGGCTGAGATTACCCAGCCGCAGGACCTTCTGGAGGAGCAGCGGCAACAACTGCGCGAGGAGACTGCTGCTCGCGAGACCTTGCACCTCGAGTACACGTCGTTCATTTCTAATCGTGCTCGTTTCAAATTGTTCCTGGCCCCCTAGTGGCCAGGAAGAGGCCCAGAATAGAACACTCAGAAATGAAAGGATCTTGAATTCCAAAACATCAAAACCTTTTCGAATACTTAGAATGAGCAATGTGTAATTACGTCGAAACGCTCAAGAGCACGGTGCCCCTGCCTACTGCTGGCAGCCCTGGCCAAAGCCGCGAGGCGGTGGTCGCAGCTTTGAATGCCAGCTTGGAGCAGCTGCACACTGTCATTGCCCAGTTGGGTGCTGGTGAGCAGCTGGCCGCCTCCTGCGTCCAGCATGTTAGGGCTCTGGCTCGCTCGGGTGCAGCAGGCCGTGCTGGCCGAGCCTGTGCCGCCCCCGCTGGCTCCTGCACCTACTGCTGCCGCCGAACCTGCTGGATCTGGTGGCACTCGACGTTCCACTGCTGAGGGCCACCCTGTCTCTGATCTGGACATGGGCGATGCTGATTTGGGTGAGGTCAAGGACTTCATGCAGTCCGTGGGGCAGGAGACGGGTGGTACTGAGGAGGAAGTCCGTAGGACGGCCAAGCGCCTCGTCAGCGGCTTCCGGACATGGGCCGAGCGCCAGAAGAAGGTTGCTGCGCAAGGCCTCGAGCCTCACGTGCCTTATCGTGCTGATGATTTTTGTTGCAGCCATGATGGTCAATCTTGGTGGAATCACTGCGTCGGCTGGCTCGTCTTCTTCGGCCCCTTCGACAGAGGTCACTGATCCCTTGAAGCCATGGGAGGTGGACCTGATGGTGGCCTTGGGAGCGGCTAGGCGGCCTCCCCAGCGGCCACGGCGGCTGATGCTCCGGTCCTGGAAGCCGCGGCGGCGGCCCCGGGGGCCCCTCCAGCGGCCGCAGCGGCCGCTCAGGAGCCGCTGGGAGAAAGTGCCAAGGCAAGGCTCCTCTTGGCGCTATCTCCGGGTGGCGTCTTGGAGCTGCCTTGGGGCGCCCTGGCGGCCCCCTGGGCAGCCCCAGCGGCCCTGGCAGCGGCCCCGCGTCCTGCCCCGCGTCATCTTCAGCGGCGACGTCTTGGGGCTCGGAGGCGCCGACGGCATCAGGGGATCCCTCGACTGGGTCTTCGGCCTTCTGCAGGCGTCGGGCCCACATGGTCATCCCCCGACCCCGCTTGTTGGGGCATCGCTCCTCAAGTCTGATGGTTCGCCCTCGGCGCCTCGCGGGGGCTAGGTCAGGTGGCCTGAAGGGTCAGGCGTTGGCTGCTTGCATATTTCGACGGCCGGTTCTCCCGGCAGTTCGGATCCTACGGGCTGCGGTGCTGCAGCGGGGCCTGCTACTGGTTCAGCCTCGATGCCGCGTTGGGGACTCGGACCGAGGGCGGGAACTTCTGATAGCGTCTAACTCAAGGGGAAGTCGTCTCGTGTCGTCCCGCTGCTGCTTGTGTGAGTTCCTGCCTGAGAACCGGCTGCCCAACGCCCAATCGCAAGCTCGAGACCGTGGATGGCATGGCCATTGGCTGGCGGCGCTGCCCAGCGACAAGTCCGAGGCTGGCACGGTTGCTGGCGTGGGGGTCCTCGTGGGCAACCTGTATTAGGACGCCTACGACAAAATAGGGCCCGTCAACACTGACTATATTTGGGCCCTGGTTCAGGACCTCTGTTCCCCTGAACAAAGCTGGCCATGATTGGCTCATTGATGCGGATTGGAACAACGAGGCTGATGTTGTGATCGCCCAGCCTTGACTTCGTGCCACAGCTGTTGTCCCGCTTGTCCCATCGCTGCCCACCTGTAGGCAGAGAACGCCTTGCACGAAGCTGGACTACTATATGGCCTCCTCCAACTTGTCGGCGCGCATGGTGGACCAGGCCACTGTTGATGAGGACTCGACGCTGTGCCCGCATGTGCCAGTCTCGGTCGGTCTACCTCACGGTCCAGGACATGGAGGTCGATTCCAGATCTACCTCGCGAGTTTCCTGCCCAGGCACCTGTGGGATGCGCTCGTTATCCCTTGGACTGGACCGCTGTTCAGGTCTAGAAAGCCCAGGATGCCGACGGGCTGGCAGCTGTTTGGGATCAGCTCGTCCGTGGCGTTGAGATCGAGCTCACCAATCGCTTTGATCTGGATTGGTGGTCGAGGAAGCCCAGGATGCCGACGGGCTGGCAGCTGACTTGGGATCAGCTCGTCCGTGGCGCTGAAATCGAACTCACCAATCGCTTTGATCTGGTTTGGCGGTCGAGGAAGCCCAGGATGCCGACGGGCTGGCAACTGTTTGGACTCAGCTTGTCCGCGGCGTTGAGATCGAGCCCACCGATCGCTTTGATCTGGTTTGGTTGGGCCTCTGTCGTTGGCACATCTCGGGCGTTGGCAGAACTGGGTTTAGTGGAACCTGGTTTAGTGATCTGTACCTGGGGCGCCCCCCCTTCAACTTCCACTAACTGGAACTGCCGTCGCCCGAAAAAACACCAGCTATGGCAAGCCTGGTTGAGTTATTCTGGCCAATTCAAATGCTCTGGGGTCCTACCACTAACCGGGTCCCCTTACCTGGGGTCCTGGCCATACCCGAACATCGACGGCGCGGCAGTGCTCCCAACTCAAGCGGGAATCATCATGCCCGGCTGGTGACTTTGGTCTGGGGCTGCGTCGCGTTAGATGTTCCGTCGATACTCCATCTGAGGTGTGAGCGTGATCGACTTCGCACCTTGGTGACCCGTACGCAGATGGCCACTGCTATGTGCCAGGTGGATTGGCCCCAGTGTTCCACCAATTCGCAGGTTCTACATCAAGTGGCTGCTCCCCTCACGAACTCTAATCGCATCGCCAAGGTCCTGGCCCACCTGCCGATGCTGCTGACGTCATTCCTGTCCCCGGGCTTGCAAGTCTTGACGGCTCATGGCTTCGAGGATTTGTTCCAGAGCGCCGGGGCCCAG